GCTTAAGCGCCACCTTACAGAAAGATTTTAAACAAATCTCCTCTGATTTAACCAAAGAAGTCTCTGAACTAGGAAATAGGACCAGCCATTTGGAAGATCGGATGGAGGATCTCTGTACAGCCCATAATGAGGTGCTAAACAGGATTCAACAGCTAACGGAGGAAAACTATAATATGAAACTCAAAATGGCTGATATGGAGGATAGGTCGAGAAGGAACAATGTGAGATTCAGGGACATTGCAGACAATATTACTCGAGAAGCCTTACCTGCTTATATCAAGGAACTTTGCTCTACAATTCTCCCTACTATGGAAGCTGAGGCCTGGACTTTCGACCGCATACACCACCTACCTCACCTGCAAAGATTCCCACCTGATACACCCACAGAAGTGATTGTCCACTTCCACTACTTTCGCTATAGGAATGAATTGCTTGCAGAAGCCAGGCAACCATTTCTCCAGTCTTCAGCTTCTTATTGCCAAACATTGGCGGCATGTCCCGCCCGTTAGCTCTAACGGTTCCATAGGCATCTGTTTTGTTTTGCAGAAGAAACTCTAAAGTTCAGGAGACGTATAAAAGTTTTCGGTTGTTACACAATAGCCCAATGAGTAAAAGAACGGAAGATGTTGCCATTCCATAGTTGCTGTATTTTGGATTGAATGTTGTTCCTTTTCCAGTGTAAATGACTGAATTCCAAATGTAGCCAGTTGACGTTTCACATAGCATGTAGGATTTTACGCCAAATCGCGCTCTCTTTAATGCAATGTATTGTACCCAACTGAGCCTTCCCTTGTAGGCAACTAGACTTTCATCTATGCTGATATCTCTTTCTGGCACATAGAATCATTAATTCTTTAGTTTTGGTGCAGGATGAGTAGTTTCATCAAATTCTTTGTTGTTTTTGAAGTGTAAAAATCTCACGATCAGGGAAAATCTGTACCCTGACATGACCATACCAAAGAATGGAGTGGCAAGTAATTTATTAGTTGTCCAATATCACTTCTGCAGGGGTTACCCACCACTCCC